GGACAAGAGCTAGACAGTGGGGAGGGAAGAAAGAGTAGTTTGAGACAAAGGGCCAGACAGGTGGGACAGGCTGGGAAAAAGAGATTGGGACTGGCAGCCAGGGAGGGAAATGACTGGTTAGGGGGACAGGAAGGAGATGGAGATTGAATGAGGAAGTGAGGAGTCTGCGACTAGCTGGGCAAAGAATATAGCACTAGCAATCAGTGGAGAGGAAGGGGCCAGATCTGACAAGGAGCTGGTATGCAGGGAGAAAACTGAGACAAGGATCTGGCAGGGGGGAGGAGGTAGACTGACTGAGATTGGATGAACAGCCTGGGAAGGAAGGAGAAACAGTGGCAGACAAATGGAAGTCGGCATGGGGGAAAGGAAGACCAATCAGAGACTGGGTAGACAGGAGCCAGGAGGGAGGGAACTGGTTGGGCTAAGAGGTTGGGAGTGCAGGTGGGACACAGATTGAACAAAAACAAAAACAGTGAGGCGTACTAGTGGCACCTTAGATACTAACAAATTTATTTGGGAGTAAGCTTTCGTGGGCTAAAACCCACTTCATCAGATGCATTCATCCACTCCATGCATCTGATGAAGTGGGTTTTAGCCCACGAAAGCTTATGCCCAAATAAATTTGTTAGTCTCTAAGGTGCCACTAGTACTCCTCATTGTTTTTGCTGATACAGACTAACGCGGCTACCAGATTGAACAAAGGAACTGGGAGTGGTGTGTGACAGATGCAATTCTATGTAAACAGGCAATACACAAAGATTATTGTGTTAACTTTATAATATATGTCTCTTTATGGGCAGGCTCATGATTGTATTCAGGGCCAAACAGGTCAGATAAGGGGCATTTCCTGCAGGAACTAAAGACAACAGCAAATCCTCAATGCAATGCAAATCCCCAATACTGCAACAATGCAGGTAAAGTACCTTTTGACGTTTCACAGCACCACCCCAGGGTGAAGTTCATATCCTGGTTCAACCTGGTTCTAGAGGCCTAAATACAAAGGACTGTTTTAAGGGATGGCTCTAACCTAGGGAGAGGCTGGAACACAGACGTCATCTGGAAACTGACAGGCATGAGACTGTGTCCAACAGAATCAGTCCCTGTGAGAGGGCCTGAAGTATTTTAGAACCTATCAGAGTCTCCACATGAAAGATGGGTGACTGCCTGGAAAACCAGGGATGCATGTTAGCTGGTCATTGTTTTAAGATGTGTTTTCTTTGTAATAATTTATTTTCTAAATAAATAGTACTTTGGTTTAATGAGAGCTGGCTGATCACTGGCTACCCCTATCGTTGCCTCAGAGAGTACAACTGCAGGTGCTGAACTGAACTCAGACCTGCTCTGGTGATCACAGTGAATTGAAAGAATTGGAAGCTTAAGACTGTGAGCTAGAGGGAAAGCATTAAGGCATCCCACCCCAAGAAAGGTGATGGCTAGTGGCCTCAAACCTACGTGGGACACCCTCATGAAAACCATGAGGGAGTCAGGGGTGCAGTTAATTCAAGAACTGTGATGTGGTGAATTGTGACAGGCTGGGCCTGGGATGAGAAGCCTGAGGAATGGAGACTGGGACTGGAACAAAGAGCCAGTGGAAGGACATAGACAGATTGCTGGGGATGGTGCAGAAGTGTCTGTTCCCACTACAGCACACTCCTCTCCAACACCTGAAATGGAACCCTAGATTCCTGAGTCTTGCCATTCCTCTGCTGTCAGCAAAACCTGTGAAACACAGTGGCAAAGTGTTGGTGCTGGTCCACCTAGAGAGGATGACAACTTATTACTGTTAACAGTGACTCCATTAGCTCAAGTGGCAGAGGTCTGTGAAGTGGATCTAAAGGTTCCAACCCTGCTGATGTACCATAGAAGTGTTAATAGGAAACCACGATAGATAGGCCACATGTTTTTTCAATTTGCTTTTTTGAAAAATTTAAGATATTACACACAAAAAACTCCCTAAATTAAAAGATTATTAAAGTTGCAATGTCAACACTTAAAAATTAGAAATACCAGAATTATGGTTGCCTGTGGAAACTTAATTCAGCTTTCTGGGGCATATGCATTATGACACAGTCTTTAATTACATGATCACATACATTTTTTCTCCACAGTGACCCCTGCCTCTTCATTGCCCAGAATGAACAGTGTTCACTGAATAAGCAGTATTCAATATTTTGTTTTATTCTCATTCAGAGTGTGGCCCTACTCTGAAGACAGAATTGTTAATTTTCTCATGGGCTTTCCTGTAGTACTTATCACTATAGTACAGGGGTAGGCAAACTTTTTGTCCCGAGGGCCACATCGGGGAATAGAAATTGTATAGTGGACCATGAATTCTCACAAAATTGGGATTGGCATGCAGGAGGGGGTGCGGACTCTGGGGTGGGGCTGGGGATGAGAGGTTTGGGGTGCAGGAGGGTGCTCCGGGCTGGGATTGAGGAGGGGTTTGGAGAGATGGAGGGGGATCAGGGCTGGGGCAGGGGATTGGGACGAGAGGAGAGGCTATAGGGGTGCAGGCTCTTAGCAGCACTTACCTCAAGCGGCTCCCAGAAGCAGTGGCATGTCCCTTCTCTGGCTCCTACGCGGAGACGCAGCCAGGCAGCTCTGCACGCTGCCCCATCCTCAGGCACCGTCTCTGAAGCTCCCATTGGAGCGCGTAGGAGCTGGAACGGGACTATGCTGCAGCTTCCGGGAGCTGCGTGATGCGGCCCCCGACCCAGTGCCCCGACAGAGCGGGGCTGAGCCGCAGAATGCGGCCTCTGACCCAGTGCCCCGGACGGAGTGCCAGAGTGGGGCTGAGCCGCGTGGTGCCTCTGAGTGTAACCCCGCCCTTATAAATTAAAAACACTTTTTATATATTTAGCACATTATAAATGCTGGAGGCAAAGCGGGGTTTCGAGTGGAGGTTGACAGCTCGCGACCCCCCATGTAATAACCTTGTGACCCCCTGAGGGGTCCCGCCCCCCAGTTTGAGAATCCCTGGACTAGATGATCATAATGGTCCCTTCTGGCAGAGCTGTAACTAGGTATATTAGCACTTGGGGCAAGCAAGCATATTTGCTCTCCCTACTGTTTTTTCATAATTTTTCTGCCCCATTTGGCTTTGCACCCTAAGCGGCTGCCCTGCTTGCCCTGCCCTGGTTATGGCCCTGCTTTCTGGCCTTGGACTCTATGAATTCTCCATCCCATTCCTTATGCAGCCTAACAGTTAGATTGCTTTTTTAAAAGTGCAGCTGCACATTGAGCCAATGTCTTCACTGAATGTCCACAGTGACACTCAGGTTCCTTTCTTGAGTTGATACCATTAATTTAGAACCTTGTCAGGTATATGAGGAGTAATAAGGTGCTTTGCATGTTCTTGCCTTTTGTTGTTGTTTCTTTTGCTCTTTTGGTTGCTTTTTTCTTTATAGACTTGCTAGCCAGTAAATCTGTTTCTGTAAAAAGTGCTATTTGTGTTTGTTAATATCACTTTGCACAGCAGCAGACTTGCTAGCTAGCTGGGAGGCAGTGAAAAGTTATATCAACAAACATACAAATATCACTTTTCACAACAGACATGCACAGCCCTGGCAAGCTGGGGGACAAATTAAACCCTGGAAGGGGAGGTGTGTAGGGAGGCAGCTGGGGGTCAGGGATGAAGGAAGCAGTGGGTGCCTGGGGGGATGGACAGGGAACTGGGGGAGACAGCAGGGCCAGGAGTGATGGGGGAGAGACCGGGGACCAGAGCCCTATAGCTGCACAGTCAGGCATGGGGGCTGGAGCAACAGGAGCATGAGGGGTTAGCCTGGGGCTGGCTCCCACCTTCACACAACCGGGGGCCAGAGCCTGAAGCCCAATGGCTGGAGCCAGGTGCCCACCACCACATGGCCAGGGAATGGAGCATGCAGCCGAAACCATAGGTGCCAACTCCGTGGGTGCTTCGGGACTGGAGCATCCATGGAAAAAAAATAGTGTGTGCTCAGCACCCACCAGCCACTCGCTGATCAGCTGTTTGGCAGGGCAGAGGGGGGACAGGAAGAAGTGGAGCGAAGGTGGGACCTTAAGGGAAGGGGCAGAGTGGGGTCCGATCCTCAAGGTGGAGGAGCATCCCCCCCTCCCAGAAAAATGAAAGTTGGGGCCTGTGGCTGAAACCTGGGGCCGGAGGACACCGTGGGGTCAGGGGCGATGGGAGCCTGGGGCTGGATCCCATTGCCAGAGCCCAAAACCATGTGGCTGCAGCCTGCTGCCATGTGGGCGAAGCCCAGAGACAGAGCCCGAAGCCCCACGGTCAGAGTCCAGGGACAGAACCAGAAGCCCCACGGTCAGAGCCCCTGGCAGGCGTCTGCTGCACGCCCGGGGGCCATGGGAGGGGATGGTGAGCCTTGGGCCGGAGCCTGCTGCCTGCCACACCTGAGCGCAAGCCGAAGCCCCAGCCCCACTGCCCCCAGGGTTTGCAGCTCCTGAGCGGGACAGGGCCCAACCCTCGCTGGCGGGGGCGGGGCCATGGCTTAGCCCCGCCCCAATCCGCCAGGGAGGCTGCTGCCGCAGGAGAAGCCCTGGTGGGCGCCCCAGCCGTGGCTGCGGCGTTTGGGAAACGCCGGGCAGCCGCCAGCCGAGGCTCAGCCGCGGAGCTCTGCACGCCGCCCAGGGCGGCCCGTCACGCCGGCCGCTCACGCGGCGCCAGGTAAACCCCCGATGAAGACCGGCCCCAAGCGCAGGGGCCCCAAGGGAGCGGAGCTTGGTGGGAAGGGGAGGCGCAGGACGGCGACACTCCGCCTCTCCCCGCCCTCAGCGCAACGCGCGCGGCTGGCTTCGGCTGAGCCCCCTCCCGCACGGGGCCCGGACCCAGCTGCCCCGCCGTTTCTAACGCGCCCATCCCCGCCGGCTCCAGCCTAGGCAGCGGCGCCGGATCCCGAGGCTCCCGCTGCTCTGGGGGGGAGCGGTATCCGCCCGCTTCCCGTCCCAGCCCCAGCCCCAGCCCCAGCCCGAGCCCGCGGGGAGCGCAGGGCTGCCGCGGCCCTTACCTGAGGAGGCGGTGGCGGGGCAGGGGCAGCGCGCCCGGCTCGTGCTGGCCGGCGCGGCGGCGGGAGCCGCTATTTAAGCCTCTGAGGCGGCGCCCAGGGAGCGATGGGCGGCGCTGGCTGCGGGCTCGGGGCCAGGCGGCTCTGGCTGGCACCTTCTGCGACCTTGAGCTCCGGGCGGGGCGGGCAGGCCGCGCCCTGTGCCCCGGCGCGGCGGCCAGAGCCCTGTGCCCCGGCGCGGCGGCCAGAGCCCGGCCGCAGGACCCCGCCTCGCCTCGGCAGCCTGAGGGAGGCAGCGAGCCGCAGGGCGCGGGGGGGGAAGCGCAGACGGGCCGGGCCCAGCGGCTCCCGAGGCGGGAGGGGCAGCGGCCGGTTCACAGAGGTCGTGGCGCGGTGTCTAGCCCAGCAACAGCCGCAGGGACCCGAAACTCCCGGGGGTGCGGGGGGGGGGGCAGATCCCCCTCCCCCCGTGCGCGCCCCCGCTGGTGCAATGTACAGCCGGACCTGTTCCCTCCGCCCCGCCCCCTCCCGCAACGGCAGGGCAAGGGTGTGGACACGGCCATGGGAGTGAGTTAATAATACACACAGCCCAGTACAGCGGGAAGGGACCTGGATAAATCATCAAGTCCAGCTCCCTGCGCTGGGTTAGGACCAACCAGTAAACCCAGACCAGCCCCACCAGTTTGCCTGACGAGCGGCGTGTTTTACCGCCTGGAGCCAAGGTGCCCTGTTCTCCTTGATTGGCTGGAGGGAAAAGGGAAGGCTGAGCTGAAGAGCTCTTCCTGGTTGCACTCCCTAAAACTGCAAAAAGAAAAGGAGTACTTGTGGGCACCTTAGAGACTAACCAATTTATTTGAGCATAACTGGTTAGAATACACTTCTAAACAAACTATTGCTAGTTGGGGAAGATGGGAAATTTCCCAGCAGATTAACTGAGGAGCAAACACACACGGGGGGGTATTTTAAAGCCAGCTAGGAGAAAAATACAGAAGTGCCCCAGAACGGCTAGCAAGTCATTTATTATCATCAGGAGGAGTAACATAATTTACTATTGTACCCCACCCTTCTCATTATAGGGCCCTGCTTTCAGTTGCTTATAATTTTGCCAGAGGGCTGAAGTGTTTCCAGGCCAGGTGTGGGCCTCAGGTGGAGTTGTGGATTTTTATTTTTTAAGCTAAAAGGGGTATTCAGCCATTTCCAAGAGTGAGGCTAGGGAAAAAATATATGTAGGCTTAGACTTCAGTTCTTATTTTTTTTCAATTTTGATGATTAATATGGTTACCCTCAGTTTCACTAGAAACCAGCCCAGGGTTACATTTATATTTGTTTTATTAAATGCCACTATTGGATCAAACAGAAAAAGGATGGAGCTTATTCATGCACACACACGTTCAACGCATTTGTACCCTCATGCACCCACACACTCATGTAGGTGGAGAATCCAGAGACAGCAGAGGAAGGCAAGAAGCCACAGTATAGTAAATCTGGTGTGTTCGCCTGCGGTCACGGATCCAGGCCGGCGAGCAGGTCAAGAAGAAGAGAGCTTGTGAGCGTGCTTTCTTCCTTTTATTAGAACTGGGCAGTTCCTGTCACATACACTGAGTTTTCCTTCTGTGTCCATCACCAAGAAGCATTCCCAGACCTTATTCTTTTCATGCATATCAGGTTCTTCTTTTCTTTACAGCATCCCGTGATTGCCTTCTCAGGGCAGATTACATCAGACACGCCTGGCTCCGAGCTCTTTTCTGTTTGCAGTTCCTCTCCACCCAGTCCCACATACACACCCTTGTTCACACGCCCTTATGGCATGATGCGATGTTGCAAAGCTCCGGGGTTATACAAGTGGTAACTGAAATGGTTACAAAGCTTGCAAAAGTTACAAAATTTAAAAGGCTATGCTAACAATGACTAAAAGTTACATTTGCAAAAGGTTACAGAACTTAATGATCATACTAGCAATGACTGAAAAGTTACAGATTTTACAATCGCATTCTACTGGATTGAGCGGAGGCTTTACACAACAAATATAAAGTTTTGTTTTTTCCAATTTTTTATTTTTGTGGGAAACTAAGTGGGATAGGGTTGGGATTAGGGATAGGGCCGTACTGACAAGAAGGCTGCAGGACTCTCTGCACAGCCCAGGGGCACAAAACACCCAAGTGCAAGGTGTGGAGAAGACTGCAGTCCTGGCCAAGCAGAACAGACACTCTGCTCAGGGCTGCAAGGAGAAAGTTGAGCCTGTGACCATGCGGGAGGCCACTGACTCTGCTGCTGAGCTGTTCTGTCTGGGGTTGGCCCCCTGCGCCTGGCTGATGAGTAAGTGAAAAAGCCGTGACAGCGGGGCTGGATTAACTTTTTGTGGGCCCAGCACCAAACATATTTGTGGGTCCCCCCTTGCGAATTATTGTAAAAGGGGCCAGGGGCAAAAGCACAGTGGGGGGGGGGGGAGGTAGGGTTGGTCCCTGGAGCAAGGGAGGGGTCATGGGTAAACAGCAAGCGCAGCAGGGCTGGGGAGAGGGTAAACAGGATTCCCCTCCGACCCTGCCCACATAGAGCAGGTACCTACCTGGTTCTAGCCCAGGGGCAGGCAAAGTTTTTGGCCCGAGGGCCACATAGGGTTTCCAAAATTGTATGGACGGCTGGTTAGGGGAGGCTGTGTCTCCCCAAACAGCCAGGCGTGGCCTGGCCCCCACCTCCTATCCGACCACCCGCCCCACTTCTTGCCCCCTGACAGCCCCCCTGGAACTCCTACCCCATCCAACCACCCCTTCTCCCTGTCCCCTGATCACCCCGACCCGCCACCCCTGGCTGCCCCCTGCCATCCCATCCAACCCCCCTCTCATTCCTGACTGCCCCCCTGGGACCCTGCCCCATCCAACGCCCCTGTTCCCCACCCTCTGACTGCCCTGACCCCTATCCACACCCCTGCCCTCTGTCCAACTCCCCCTGCCCAGTGGCTGGTGGTGCTCCAGCTGCACCACCCAGAGCACCGGGTCAGGCCATGGCTCTGCAACTGAGCTGCCCAGATGCCCAGAGCATTGTGCCAGCAGCACGGCTCCCTGAGACTGCGGGGAACAGCAGGGTCGGAGCCAGGAGCTCAGGGGTCGGGCAGGAGGGTCCCGCTGGCTGGATGTGTCCCACGGGCCATAGTTTGCCCACCTCTGTTCTAGCTCATTCTCTTTGTCTCTCTCTGCACTGAGCTGCCCCTCCTCCCGCAGCAGTAGGACAGGTTCTCTTCTAGCCTTTGGGGTGGGTGTTGGGAGCGGGAGGAGCAGAGGTTAATGTGGTTACTTCTATAACTGGACTTTTAGTTTCCAGTCAGCACTGCTAACTGGACACTCAGCCCTGGTCTACACTGGGGGGGGGGGGGGTCAACCTAAATTCCAGCGTCAACAGGGAGCACGTTCGGGGATCAATTTATTTGCATCTAGATGAGACGTGATAAATCGATCCCCGATAGATCGATCATTACCTGCCGATCCGGGTAGTGAAGACCTGCCCTTAGGTCCTGTTTTCTACTGGAGTTTCCAGTCTAAAACTGGATACCTGACAACAGGGCTGCCAGAAAAGCCCGGGGCGGGGGAGGGGGGCAATCATTTTTAAGCCGGCGGGGGGGAGCAAGTGGTGGGTGGACTAGGGAGTTGGAGAGGAGCTAGTGGGCAGGGCCATGTCTGCTGTACTGCCCACTAGCAGGTGGGGACCAGCTGACAGTATCCGCAGCCCAGGTGATGTGACAGCCAGTGGTGGATTTAGAGTTAGTGGGGGCCCCCCAGCCTTGTGTTCAGCTTCATTTTTGGGGCCCCTCCTTGGGACCCAGCCAAGATAAAGAACATTCTCTCTTATCTCCCCCCACCCCCATTTTTCATTTTTTTCTTCATCCTCCTCCTATAGGTAATAGCAAATAAATTCAGAAAATAAAGTGCCTTGATTGTTACCTTGATTGTTCTTGTAGTCTAATTTATTTTTCCACAGACCACTTGGAAATCATGGAGAGTCTCGACGGACCACTTAATGATCTTTCCAAATATTGTTTGTACCATTAGCTAACTATTGTAAAGTGCTTTGGGTAAGAGCGCTTTATAAAAAAAATCTTTAAAAAATGTTGGGGTGGTGGGTCTGGCCAGGAGCTAGGGTGAAGGAGGGGGCTCAGGGTTGGGGCAGGAGCTTGGGGTGTGGAGTGCTTACCTGGGGCAGCTCCTGTTTGTTGCAAGGGGTGCAGGTGGGAATGGGAGGGTGCAGGAGCTCCAGTTTGGTGCTCAGAGTGGGGATGCGGATGCGGAGGGGGTGCAGGAGTCAGGCATGGGGTGTGAGGGGGGCTGGGCATGTGTGGGGTGTGCAGAAGTCAGGACAGGGGGGCTAGGGGTGTGGGCTGGGGTCATGGGGGTGCTTCGCCAAGGTCCTGTCCCCGCCTCTTCTCGTCGTCCTCCCAGGAGCAGCGAGTATGCTGAGGCTCCGCTCATCCCCCTCCCTCCTGCTGGCAAACAGCTGATTGGCTGCAGGGAGAGGGGGAGGGGAGGGAATGTAGCACCCTCGGGGAAGAGGCAGGGAGGAGCTTGGCTGCTGGCAGAGCCTGTCCTGCTGTAGCAGGAGCCGGCAGCAAGAAGCTTCTGCCCCCACAGGAGAGAACGGGGGGTGGAGAAGAGTGGTGCAGGCTGAGGCCCCTTTGGACTGTGGGCCCGGTGCCATGGCGCAAAATCCAGTACTAGGCTGCAGAGAACTTTCTGTTCTGCCAAAGGGCTGGTGGTACCTGATCCCTGCTAGCACAAGGTGTAGGAAAGACATCCTGGCAAAACAGAACAGAAACTTCTGCCTAGGACTGCAAGGAGCAGGGTGAGCCTGTCCCCAATCAGGAGCCACTCAGCAGCAGGGTGGCCTCCCCTACAGCCAAGAACTAGTTCCATTCCTTGCAGTCCTGGCCCAGGGATCTTCTGTCTTCCTGGCCAGGACCATAGCCTTCCTTGCACCTGCAGGGCTCCAGGTTCTTTGGCCCCATAGCTGTGCAGGAAGCCCTCTGTAGGTCTGCTGTCATGGCCCTGCTCCCTCTCTCCCTTGCCAGAAGGGTTGCAGAGGGCTCTATCTGCTGCTGTGGGGCATTGACACCCAATCCCTGTAGGTGCAATGTACGGGGGGAGGTTGCACTGGAGCTGTTACTGATGGAGATTTTTTTTGTTGATTCTGGAATGTTGACTGAATTTGATGTTTACAGTCATCTAATTTAAATCA